TGAAATCGAACTGGATAAGACACGGTGGACCAGCCCCAAATATGATATGGCACCCAGATCAGCATTGGTTGTATAAACTTCACACTGAATTTCAAGCTAGATTTAGCTAGATTCTTTACCTTTCAACTCTTCCCCAACACCCTGGGACTCCGGTTTCTAAATACAGAGCAAAACGGACTTTGGTCTCAAAAAAGGAAATTCCACCACTAACCAAAAGTCAAGTTTCTTTCCTTGTAGGGATGCTTCTAATGGTGTCTGGCAAAAAAAAAAAAAACTGACCCAATACGAAGGCATAGCTGTATCTTAATCCATGAAAACTTCAGCAGCTTTCCATAAGTCCACAGAGGCAGGTGAACATGTTGCGGCCTTAATAGCAGAGAGCAAAGTTTGGAGAAAAAAAAGCTCCCCCAATCGTTGGGTAAAAAAAAAAGATTTAATCAATTTTGAATCGATTCCTTTACATTTTTACAAAATCAAGTACATGACGTTCACATTCAAATGAGCAGGAAAGATGCACTCAAGATGACTTTAAGCCAGACAGCTGCAAATATAGCCAATAGGTTGACTGAAGACATTAACAAATGGGGGCTGACCAGAAAACACTCTGTAGTTGTTAAAGACAACGCTGCAAATATGGTTTGTGCAGTGGAGATGATGCAGCTCATGCATGTCTGAGTGAGTGAGGCTTCACTTTTTCACTTTTCACAAACAAGTGCACTTATGAGACAGTTTTGTTCAAATTTAAACTTTCTGATTTAAACTTGATTTACAAGTTTGCACTGTGTTTAATATGACAGGAAAAAATAAAATACATCAGTATTTTAAAACACAGTTGAACCACTTTCATTATTGTAAAAACAGATCGAATCGAAATAAATCGATTTAGAACTTTATTAATCAAAATCTAATCGATTCAGGACTTTGGCGAAAATGCCCAGCCCTATCGCTGGTTATGTTATAACTGTTAGAACTATGGAAATATAGATAACCTGACTTTTAATGAGCATAACGGCCACAGAAACTGTGTTTTAAAAACACATTTACCTTCTCATTTGCACATAAACGGTAGTGGGAAGCTCTGAAAACGTGAACCCTGTGTTGGACATCAGCTCTTAGAGGCAGGCGAGCACAGTATTGTATACTCTGTGGTGAGTTTTCAGATAAAAAAAAAAAAATGTTTAGATACAACATCTAGTGACCATTTCCTGTCTTATTTGAGAGTTTGGTGACAAGACATGCACTGTTAACTGAGTTTAGGGTCTTCAGCGAGTAGTGAGTGAGCGAGCCCCTTCCTCCTACAAAACACTGCAGCTGCAGCCTGCTTCTGCTATCAGAAGGAGCAGAGCAACTTACCTGTTTCCCCATTGAATATGAGTCACTCATGTGCAAAGTTTCCACTGATCCCTTCTGAATTAACAAGTGGGATGTAATTCTTTGAACCTGTTGCACTAAAACAGATCCTCTCTGCATTTAATTCTTACACAACCAAATCAACTATGTTCCTCTGTTAACTGCCTTTAAGTTGAAATGGATAAAATAAATTGATTTGGTTTCAGTTAAGGTTAAAATAATCTGGAATGCTACAAAATGTTTCATAAAGTTTGTCTTGAGTTTTAAATGTATTGTGGGTGTTTTTAATCACATTCTGTCATAAGATGCATATTATGTGAATGTTCTCAAACCTCAAAAACGACTGAGGCTGGAAGTGATCAGCTGGGAACTGGGACAGTCTAGCCTTCAGCAGGAGTCCTGCACTCTCACCTCAGTGTAACTGAGATGTAACCCTGTGAGTTACACCAGCGTAACCCTGACAGCATGAGGCATGGGCCAGTGAAGTCTAAACATGATCTTTAACATTTTATTGTGATATGTGTAATATTTATCAGAGGAAAACACAGCGAAGCAATATGGCATCATTGCTGACTGGTCTAACAGAAAAATAAGTGCAATAAACAGCATATGACAAAGGTTTAAGTAAAAACAGCTCAAACTATTCTCATGAAACGGTAATATTATCCTTATTAATTTAGATTTTTTTTATTCTGTGCTCCTAAATTTTTTCATTTGGGAACACTTGTGCTTCTGGTAAAAATGCCAAGCCCTGGTCAGTAATTTTCTGCTCATTATCATTGTTCTGTTATTTAGTGAATATTCTTATTTTTCCCAAAAAAATACATTTTGGGGTTTTCATTTACTCTGAGACATAATTATTCAATAAAAAAAATTGAAAAAATTGAAAGCTTAAAATAGATTAGCTCTCATGGATTAAACAATTAAAATAATAGTTTCACTTGAAATTAGATGGAATTACTAAAATAAACAATAAAACCTTCTTTCATATTATATCTGTTAATAACTTCTCTATCTTGGTTGTTTTTAGTTTGAACTATCTGTCAGTTTCCCAGTTTTGTTGAAATGATTAGTGACCTGCTACACTAGCTCAAACATCCACGTTAAGCTTAGATCTACATTAGATGATTAAACAGCTGTTAGGACCTAATATTCTGGTATTATTCTTATATATGATTATTCTAGGTATTATGGTAAAAACTAGGTTAAAACTAATTATCCCAACATGAGATGAAGCTGTACTAATAACAAATATATTTTGAGATGATCACATTTTATTGCAACATCTCTTTTCTTCATGTAAATTAGGTAATCGGCTCCTTTCTAGATAACTTCATACCAACAGTTCTTTGCATGACATTCGAGTTTTTTAAAAAATGAAAATCCTCCAACTCCTAATCCTTCAAAGTCTGAATATAGTTAAGGTGATTAAAAGGGGAAATTTCAGGGGGCCTTCAAATGCTTCTAGATACTAAATAATTTATATGCACCAAAGATTGTCATCAAAGATTTATTCTCTTAAAGTAACCGCATTGTTTGGAAATTTTATTCTAAAAAGGGTCTTGAATTGAGCATAGGAAAGTTTACTTTAACCCATTTAGGCCTAAAACGCCTGGAAAAAACACCTTAAAAACCTATGGCCGATTTTAAAAAATACCCCTAAAACCTGAAGTTTTTCTGTAAATTCAGCAACTGTGTCAACGCCTAGTAAATTATTGATATCTCAGCTTCTGTAGCAGATAGAACTCAAAATATATTTTATCTTTGAAATTCTTCCAAAAAAAAAAAGTGAAAAGCAGTAATAAAAAAATAAAAAATTCAACCTTTATTTTTTCCATATGTGATCATGTCTTCATTGAGAATGTGCAATATAAAACGTTTTTAAAATAAAGAACAAACATTACATAAATAACTATCTGATGATTACTTATTAACAGTATTATTATGCATAATAATGCATATGTCTGTGTTATAAATTGCATACAACTTACCTCCAGATGGCCACAAATCTGTCCCGGGACATATTTTGGGGGAACTGCGTCCTGAAGAGAGGTTTACTCTGTCGCCAATAATCTCTTCGTACTGGCAACACAAGAAGTCCTATGCCCATACACAGCCCAATAAATGTCTTCATCTCCGTCACAGTCACGGGTGACCACTTTGCCATCTTTGCTCTTGTTGGAGTTTGGTTTGTTTGGTCACTGTACCTATTCGTCTCGGTAACAAGATGCATCCAAAGTTCTTCATTAAAAATATGCTCAAATGCCTGCAGCGGTGTGGTGTCTGCAGGCAAATCAACTTTCACTCCAGGTGTGCGGTTGAAAACACTCCGTGCATTGCGGTGGTAGTTCGATTGGTTCAGCGCGTTCAAAGTCATCATTTTCATCTATACCGTCATCAAAGCCGACACACTCCTCAAAATCACTGCCTTCCGACATCTCTTCTCTGTCAAACTCCTCCATGTTTGCTTGAAAAAAACTTCTTTCTTCTTGCTTGACTTATATGCTCTCCCGGCGTCAATGGTAGAATTACGCAACAGCGCCCCCGGCTTGAATGGTAGAAATGCGGTAATGCTTTCCCGGCCTAAATGGGTTAAACACAGAAGTTATGTTTTTTTTTTTTTTTTTTTCCTTTTTGGAGAACTGAGAGTAATGCGGCTGACTGAATCTTACTTACAGAGGAAAACGGAGGAGGCAGAGGGGCTGTTGACATTTTTGAGCCATTTCTCAAAAAAAAAAAACTCTGAGAGTGCTGACTTTACAAATGGGGAATTATCCTGCTCTCCTTCCATGGCTGAGTTTTACTCTGAACTGTTCCAGGTCAGTGTGGTGCTGCGGGCGGTGACAAAAACAGAAACCTGACTCTCTCTAAGACCGAACTTCAGACCAGAATTCCTTACTTTGATATCAGGCAACCATATGTTTGTGCATCTCATGGGGAAATTGCTGTTGGTGCTGCAGAAATCTAATACATGATTAGAATTTTCCAAACGTACGCCAACAGATTCTAAATATAATCACACATGCTCTGGATAAAAATTTAGCTTCTTTACATGTTTTTTTTTACTGATCAAGAACAGATATCATGGGTTTATTTGACCACTACTCTCTACATGCAGGTTAAATTTTGTTTTGCAATTCCAAAGCAGTCGCTGTCTGCCAGATGAAGTTGGCATTACTTCAGAGCTCTTTCAGAAATGGACCGACTCCAAACTGTCAGCTCATTTCTTTAACCTCCATCCTGTCTGCCGGTCCAGTTGCAGGGGTGCTTATCATCTCGTTCAGCCGTGAATATGCTGCCCTGAAATTGGCTTGGGGAACAAGGCACCAAAAATAGGGGGTTGGGTGACATTGATAATCTCTGCTAATGACACGTTAGCCGTGGCTTGCTCCGGAGGAGAGAGAGCTGCCTTTATCACACGCAGCTGTCTAAAGCTGACAAATTCTGCTTCGCACCATCAGGGCCGCTGCTTTCTGCTGATGAGAGCCACCTGAAATTTTGATGTGCGAGCGCGCCTCATTCTTTTTGCATATCTGTGGTCCCCTGATATAATGTGAGCCATTATAACTGTTTAAATCCAGTATGAGAGTTAATGATTATTCATGAAGACATACTTAACTTTAATTTTTCCTTCACTTTTGCTCCTCCAGGCCTACATCAGTGCCAAGCATGAAGGGGACAAGGTCATTGTGTTTGATAGGGCAAATGTGCTCTTTATCTTCAACTTCCACCCCAGCAAGAGCTTCCAGGACTACAGAGTGGGTGTAGAAGCACCAGGAAAGTATCCTTTTTTACTCTATGACATGTCAGGACTTTTTTTTATGTTTCTGACACTGACATTCCTTTCACACAATGTATGCAGTGCACAGTAATAATAGCCTTTTTACCAGACATTGTGACTCAAGTCTGTGGCTTAGTTGAGTTGTACTTCAGTTGTAAAAACAGAGATTTCAGACTCTTCAGACTTTTTGCTAAAAAAAACCCTCAAGATTTGAATCAGATGTGTGCTCTAAATATTGAAGACTTGCCCAAAAATCTAACATAATATATTTTAGGCTTGACTTACACTATGTCGATTTAAAGTGCTTCCTGTTTAATTTCATCAGATAGCCACAATGATGGGTGTTCAGCTTTTTAAAATATTTTTCTTTAAGCAGATATGTAAATTTCCCCTTTTTTCCCTTTTTTTAGGTTTATTAATGGGGATGGACCAAATAATTGATTAATTAGAAATTATAATTATGGCATGTGTTGCGCATTATTCTTCCTCTCATCATCATACACTTTGAATGTACATGTGTCTAATAATAATCATTTCAGTTCCTAAGCTACAGCAGCAGTTCTGTGGTTTTGGAAGAACTAATGCACGTGTTATATAAGTTTAGGCTAATTTTAGAGATTTCTTTTAGACGTCATGTCTGCGAAAAAACACTTTTTTTTTCTTTCTTTTTTTTTTCTTCTAAGGAAATAACTAACAGTATTTTACCAAGATAGTTAAACGAGCCTGAACTGGAAAGCTGCAAATCATCAATTCACACACACAAATGAACTCATAAACCTCCCAGAAAATATTACTGTACACATGGGAACTCTATGGGGAAGCGAGAACTGTATGCAAGTCCCCAGATAATGATGCCTCATTATACATATAATATGAATTTAAAGTAATAACAACATTCCACTTATATCAGCTGGACTGGGAAATGCTACAGAACTGCTAATGTAGCAGCTGATGTCATCTTTACTTTTCTTATTGTCAGCACTCTTCCAGAAATGCTCACATCGACAATATGTCAATCATTATAATTTGGTTCCTCACTGGATGCTAATACCGGTTATGAATATAGAGTGTTGGGAGCTGGAATGGGCACCATCCTTTTAGTTTTCAATTTTATCAGGACATAATGAAACAGATTTGTTTCTAAAAGGTTTTTTAGTCTTAACTTGAAATTTACAAAATCCCATTATAGTCAGAACTGGCATATTAAGACTGAAGCCAAAGTGGGGGGAAAAATGAGCGGAGAAACATTATTTCACACTGTATCCATATTAAATTCAAGGATGCAGAAAGGTTTAGTTAGGGGTAAGTTACGGTACGTATAGCTGTTAGACAAATGTTATTTATTAAAGCTCTTAGGCAACTTTGATAATACCAACTTATTGGGCCTGTTTGGAGCAGTGAAGATTATAAAGTCTGCACTCAGAAAGATGTCTGCTGAGCAGATGGAGTCTGCTCTGTCCTTTCCTCTAGCGGGCATCAGTGTTGTCACTCCAGTCCAGTTTATTGTTAAGGTGAACACCCAGATAATTAGAAGAGTCCACTATGTCAGCAGCAGTTCCCTGGACGTTCACTGCTGTCATTGTGGTGGGTCTGTACCTGCTCTACCTGCAGAGCTCCTTTGTTTTCCCCTCATTTTAAGTAATTTCAGAACTTCTTAAAGTAGCAGCCTGGGGAGTAGATGAAACAGTCTGCAGTGTAGAGGGGAAATGGGTATGGTGCCAGCACAGGCTCCTGTGGATCCCCTCGTGCTGCTGTGCAGCCTGTCACCCACGGCCTAATACCATATCCAAATGGTGGTTCACTTCTGACCCCTTCTTGTTCCGTAGACATCTTGGTTGGCTTGTGGTAGAAAGAACTGGAAAAATTTAAGAACAAGATCCTTGCATTGCTTCCAGCCTTGTTCAAGTGCATAAATCTTGGCGCAGCGGTGTAATGCTCAGATTACAGTGGTGAAATTGTGATTTATTTGGGTTTATTTTATTTTATTATAACTACAACATCTGAGGACCTTGGAGTCAGTGAGTCAACCATGACCTGAACTACTCCTTAAAATCTGACACAGACGTGAAGCTATCTGTTTTTATTCGCTAAGAGAGGAGGAGGCAAACAACAAGACAATGTTTTAAAACGAGGTACAAATCTAAAGAATTAGGAATCTAAGGAGAGTGAAGGTGATGCAATGGCACAGTCAAGGTCAATACTCCAGCCCAACTGAAACGTTAAGGTGGAACCTTAAAATAACCATGCAAAAAAAAGATATCTTGTAGACTTTAAAGTATTGATGACACAATTTTGATTTCATGTAATTTTGCTTTAAAATCACGCAGCTGGACATAGCGGCTGGTTTTATAGGTATTATGAACCAAATTGGTCTATTTTTAACACAAATATCGTACATTTAGTAGCTCTAGAGCAGCACTTTTGATAAACAACTAGTAAAAACCCATCTCTGTGTGCTGACATCAGAGGGAGAACACTCCCTCTGGGGATAGCTCAACATTTTATGATTGATATGGATGGAAACACTGAGATTTGTTCTAGAACATCTAGTCTGGAATTGGTTTGTGTGCTTTGAACCATCAGCCAGTTCAAGCTCAGGTAGTGATTTTTGAAGAATATGGAGGCATCACACCTTACAGATCAGGACCATGCAGAGCAGACCTGTAGCCTAAAGAGTTGGAAAAACAATGTAACTTCCACTGCTAATAACATTTTAATGATCCAGGATTTTTTTTAAAGATTCTGTGAATGCAGGTATGAACTTAAGGTGGAAGTCTGAATGTGTTGTGGGGGGTTTGATAAATTATGACGACGGTGGAATTTTGTCCACTTAAGGTTAGAGCTGATCAGTTTTACAACCTGGTAAAGATCAGACATTTATTATGTTCTGTGATGTAAAAAAGTTCATTTGAATGACACTAATTTATTTTCCATTACAAAAAAAAATCCCTTCTGTTTTAAATATTTATCCTCAGAGGCAAATTCTCTGAATTGTTTTGCTCCTTTGTCAGATTTGCATCACGCTCTCCTTTAATCTTCAGATTCGCTCTTGATGATTTGATGGGCTTGACTCGTCTCTTAATTAAACTTCTACATTTTGTCGGGGGTAAAAGACATTTTAGGGTACTAAAAATGTCCCCTGAGAAGATTCTAAGGCTGGGAAGTGGATCAGAGATTTAAGCACTCTGCGTGAGCCCTGTTAAAAATAAACGAGACTTGTAAAGACCCACAGTTTTAATGACTTTTTTCCCTCTCTGAGGCTGGCACTTTTGTGTCGTAATTGTTGAGAGGGAATATGAGTTGGTTGTTTTCTGTATTGTTGTTATGCTGTTAGAGAGAAATAATATCAGAGCCCAGTGATTCAGAAAGACTCTGTTTAGCAACATTGGTTGTCTGGAATTTAATGAGTCCCCCAGTTGTGATTGCAGCAGGCGTAGTGATCAGGGACGTGAAGGGGGACAGGGAGCTGACAGATCTGTATTTTTCATCGTGGACATGGTTCCCTTATGAGGCTGACTGTAGCTCACACCATCCGTCTCCCATGTGGACATGAGGCTGTGCTGCTTTGGCTGCCATTAAAATACAGAGATAATGAATATGAGTCTATTCCAAGTTTGTTTGCCTTTGAATGCTAGCTGCTAAAATCCTAACATTTTCTAATGATGTTGTGAGTTAAAGTATCGTTTTCCCTTTATAATTGTGTCATAACAAAACCATTCAAATACATTTAAATACATATGAAAAATAAAAAGTAAAAGATTTAGATTTAGACTAACTTTTTTGTAATTTTGTATAAGCAGTGTGCACAAAACGAAATTTAATGCATACAGTGTTTCAGCAGTGAATGAGCAGCTTACAACGGTGAAATTAACATTTCTATTTACAGAAACATTGAGTTGAGTTCTATTTGAAGGGATTTGAAAATTTGCCATGTAGGGCAAATCTGATGTTTACAAGTGTGATGCTGTGTCTTTATACGTGTCTTGATTAGAATTTCAACTGTTCAACAGTCTGATGGCAGCGGGGAAAAAAGCTGTTGCAGAAGTCATTAAATTATTATTTTTTAAATTAAGGCCTTAATTGGCATTAAAATTAATTTAATGTGTTTATTGTGGCATTTAAAATGCTTTCTTAAAATTTTTTTTTATAAAAACAGTTTCGTCAGACATATTATATCATGATATATTTGCATGGAACTGCTTCCGGTTGATCGCAAAGCTGTATGTTCAGAAAAGAAGCTTGAGTCGGAGAAAAAGGTAGGCAATGGGGGAGGAAAGGCAAATTTCAACAAAAGTGGCTGGAAAACGAGGAATTCGGGACATGGCTGCAGCCTGTCGACGGGTACCTGTTCGTGGCATTAAAATAATTTCTGAGAGCATTAAAAAGCACTAAATTCGAGTTATTCATTCCTGTATAAACCCTGGATAAAGTATTAAAAGATTAAATGTTATAATATATATATTCATTATATTTGGAAGCGTTCGCATTTTTTACATTAGAGATTCAAACATCCGTTTCCTGTATGGGCTGTATGTGATATATATCAGCAGAAATTTCTAGTTAACCATTGTTGGGATATGGAAGGAAAATGATGCATGTTGGAGAAGAAAAGCATTTAATATTAAGTGGTTGCTTAAGTAAATGTTACGTAACACTAGAGGAACTGTAGAGATCCACAGCTCAGGTGGGAAAGAGCAACATTTAGTTGTGCACTTGTTTGTTCTATAAGGAGAGAGAAAACGGCGTTTGCTGAAGGAATGCCAAAATAAGTCAGTTTTTCAGTTTCCTACAAGCCGTGTGTGTAAAGCAGCAAACATGCTGTGTGAGTTTTCTCCTCAACTGGGTCATAGAAGCTGGTCAGACCTAATAGGAAGGAGGATGCTTCTACTACTTCCCTTCTACTACACAATTATACACTACTTTCTGATGGTCTGTCACATACAATCTCAATGAAACACTCTGGTGTTTGTGCATATTAATACTTTTTGCAAAGCATTGGT